CATTGCTAAACGTACCCAATAAAACAGGTTAAAAATAAAATTTCGAATTTTTAAAACATTTTCCGTTTATAGAGCACGTTCAAATGAAGGTAACCCACTTTGTTCGAATCCGATTGAATGTTTTTAATGGTTCTGTGACTATCTAAGTAAAGAGGTTATAAAAAGTCACCGTCACAAAAGCGCCTGAAAAACGACAGGCACGGTAATCACAAAATAGGCCTATTTTGTTGAGAAAAAAAATCGAAAAGTTCATTTGATTGATTTGATATACATTCTGAATTAAAGTTGTCAGAAAACCAAAATTTTAATATAAATTAGAATATCAAAACATTCGACTGATATTGTAGCCGATATCGCCCATATAGAAAATGCGAAATTATAAATTTATTTAATTATTCATAGTTCCAATAATCTCTTTTGAATACATTTTTAACCAAAATTTCAAAGAATGTCGCTTTTTTTCCACCGTGCATTTCTGAATGAAATAATTGAGATATCGATTTGAGAATATATTAGTTTCATATTTATTTTTTTGGAGCCTCTCGTTAGCGAGCACATTTTTTGGTCCTGTATCCACTATTGGGAGGTTTCACTATGATTACTTATGATGAGAATCGTTGTGAATAATTATTGACAACAAAAATTACACACGATCAGTTCAGAACTCGATCAATAACATTAGGTTTGATGATATAGGATCAATAGTTTCGAGTGCTTAAAAATCCATTACTAGATATTTTTTCTTCGATGATATTGTTATGACAATTATAATTGTTACAAACTTCATTGGGCAATTGATGATCCTTTATGTCTGCTGAAAAGCTCAGTTTGGTTTATAAGAAATTCTACTCATAGTTATATACAGGTAATTATGAAAGATTGTTTGCTTATATGTCTTTTTTTTAGTAATGTTTGTTATGTTTTGTTATGTTTTGTTAGTTTAACTACCTTAAATAACTTGAATAACTGAAATCATGATAATTATAGTAAAATTACCTGCAGCATGACTCAATTATATATAAGAGTAAATCTCGTGAAATTGTAATATTTGTGTCAACTCCATAATATTCTTGTGAAAACTTGAAAATTTCTAGGGTACGTCGTTACCCGAGCCTTCTACACTCTTAGAAAAAATTCAACTCGATTTTCAGTATTTTAACGATTTTTTTATAAATTCCCAATATCCCAATAGGCCCCACCATGAATCATCACAAAATTATGGAGAAATATAGTTTTTGAGTACTATAATCAAATGGTATGTCTATTTTTGATGTGCATGCTTTGTAAAAAAAAGTTATATACTATAATAAACATGAAATTTTCCCGCGCCTATTGTTGATTTTTAGTGCATTTTAATCGAATTTTACTTTAAATGGATTCATATTGCCTATTTTAGTTTTCGACATTTTGGAAAAGATGGTGCTATGTGTTTTTTTTTAAATGTCAAAGAATCAATATTTTAACCAAATTTTAGAGCAAATATTATCTTAACCTTCAGCTTTAACATGTACTTTTTTAAATCTCCGAAGGCTCTCATCCGAATTTAATGGGCACTATTTTTTCAGGTTTCTGAAGCACTTACAAGTTCCAAAAAAATTTTACAAGTATGCTCTGAAATAAAAAATATTTTTTTTGGTAACAAAATATAATAATTTCATGAGATTTACTCACAACTAAAAAATTTAATATGAATCTAGTCCCAAATCGTCAAGAATTAAAAAAATAAATGTATTTTTCTATGGATCACAGTAAAGGAGAAAACTCTAAAATTATAAATCTTTGAAACTTTACTATAAGTATATAATCATCCACCTATAAATATTTAAGTTTTATAACTTGTGTTTCTAGTGAAGCTGCGTATATGAGAAGTGTACAGTATACACAATACACATACAGGTATTATCGACTTTCTCTGGTCTCGCATTGCATTATAAAAGTTCTATACATACTTTTAGCTATATAAGCATCGCGTGGTTTCGATAAGATACGAACTATGAGCTTTTCTTTCGAAAATAAAAGTCTACATACAGCTCGAGTTATGCATATGATTTCCGGTTGACTGCAAGCAGCGCATAGCAATGCAAGTACCTACACAGGGTGTATGGCGATCGGTAGTACTGTGAGTCGTATACAAGTAATGGTGTTAAAGCGGCGTTTTTAATAATGGCTTTTAGCAAAACCTCGAGCAAAAACGAACAAGAATGACATGATTTATAAAACTATTTTTTCACTTGGCTTATCGTCCACAGACGTAAATTCTTTGTTAGACTTTGGTTTGAAAAAAAGTGTCGATAAACACGATGTACGCCCGACTTCTTTTCCACTCAATTTGCTTGTATGTTAGCTTTCTGAAAAATATTTTATAATAGTTAATATCACGTAGTATTTTAATAGGTGATTCCATAATTCTTGCATCATAATTTTTATGATTATTAATTATCATTATGCAATTTTCAAGACAAATAAATAAAAATATTTTAATTACTTAGAGCACATTTTTTATAATATCCGAATATGTTCTTTACACCCAAATTATTATTTAAATATATCATAATTGGCATGTGTGCTGGTAATGGCATGGTGCCACCCAGATTTATGTTATAAAGCAATTTGTATTCTTTATCATATTCAAATAATAATTCACAAATACATTTATTCAATTGCAACCAAGTCATTTACGAACCCAGTTTATGCCTTACAAACTATAATTTTCTTTAAACTGAACTTTTTTGAAAATTACATAGGATTTCATTACTGAGTGCTGCTGTTGCGTTAAACTTTTTAAGAGATATATTATAAAACTCAATAAAAAAGAATATAATGACGTGCTAATACGTATTCGACATTATTAACTTCGTCAAATGGAAAGAAAAGAAAAAGGTTTAATAATAAAAAAGTACTAAAGTGAACAGTATTTGCGCACAAAGGAATTAGACCGATAACAGTACATTGGAAGCTATTCTGGTATATTATAAAAAAAAAGAAGCAGCAACTACACTGGAGAATGTATCCACTTCAATGAGAATCTCATTTATTCTCTTTCATCCCGAGATTTTTTCCCTCTGCAAGCGCATTTTCAATAGTCGGAGCCCTCTTTTACCTTATCAAAGCTACCTAGTATAATTCAACTCTCTCGCTTTCTGTCTATTTTTTTACTTGTACGTGTATAAAAGTGTATGTATGGCTGCATCAGAACTTAATAATACTTACCTTACATATCAATAATTATTTCTATAAGTTATAGATTGAGGGATTCATTATAATTTTCTTTGACAATAATTGTAATGAAAGACTTTTCAAAATTATTTTTAAAATGATCATTTCTCTGTCACTAAAAATTTCATGCTTTATACAATTCAAAAGAGCATTAATTTTATTCCTAAATTTTAACACAATACTCTGTACATCTCTGAACCAAAGTTTGAGTCGTGAAAATGTCAAAATCTTTCACGGAACAGCCAATTACACCAAATATATAGCTGCAGAGATATTACATATCAACCTACGTGAATCTAACATAAAAAAAAGAAGGCATAACTTTTTTGATCAAAATAGGCCTCTTTTTAGGTCTCTGTAATATCTGTTTGTGTATTTTATGATTTTTATAATTTTATAAAAAAAACTTTTGGTAACTTTTTGTAAATTTGTTTATTAAATATTTATAAAATTTACATCTGAATGTTGAGCATTATTTATACATAAATTTAATAAACTAGATGAAAGCTATGAATTGTAGTTAAAAATTTCGAAAATTAGAGAATTGACAATTCAACATCCATTAATTGACTATTTATTTACCAGCACAAATATAGCGGGCAAAATAAATTTTATTAGAACAATGCTTTGCACATTTCACTGTTCAAAATGATCTGGAATGGAAAAAATTGGCGTAGCATTTTTGGGGTTATAAATAATTTCCGTTATTTGCTACTCTGCCATTTCGTTATTTTTTAAACAAATTTTTTCATTCTAGTTCATTTTAACTCGTAACATGTAAAGATTATATAAGGTTATATATAAGAAATGAATGGTTCTCTTTGAATCTTGCACACCGTCTTTTTTTATTTTTCAAAAAAATTTAATGTAGAAAACACCAAAAGGTTCGAATTTTTTTGTATTTAGTTATAAGTAAACTAAATAGATATAATAAATTTGATTGATTTTCATCTTTTAATTCTATTAAAGATGATTTTTTGAGAAAAATATATAAATGAAGTAGAAATCAGATAATCAGAAAACGGTCATTGAATCTGTTATAATAATATTACAAACAATTAAAATACTAGTTGCAACTATTTGAAAAGGTAACTGATAATAAGAAATCATTAATAACAATAGAAGAAAAGTAACGTAAAGAGCTCTTTTGTTTGGTCAATTATCAAATCTATTGGTCAATCGGAACAAACATTTCAGTATAATTTTTTTTTACATTGTTTTTTGTTATCTCCAAAATGAAAATACTCTTCGCTCAAAGTTACAATTTTTTTTGACGTTCCAAATAAATGTGTACAATTTTAACATTGCAATTAAAACGATTTTCTTTAAAGTAACGACTTGTAAACAGATTTTAGAAAAACATTAGCTAACTGAAAATATAAAAAAATAGATATTACGTCAATCTACAAAAATGTTTCACTGTTTACGTTTACGCTTTTACAATTTTTTTATTTATATTATATTAAAATTTTCAATTGGTCAGGATAATGAAAATAGAAAAAAAAATTGTATCTGAATATTACTTGATGTACGGTTTTTCAACTTGAAACTGTTTCATAACATACAAACGCAAAAAAGCTACGTACTTGTTAACGTCTTTATCATCATGATAAGATGTGTGTGGTCGCTGCTATATCTTCAGTGCTATTTCAATTGTGATGCAAGTTACACATGACTCGATTTTACTTCTAGTGATAAATAAATTTGAAACCCAAAAGTGAGCTTGAAAAATATTTAATTTATAACAGTTTTTCCATTTAAATGAATATTAAGAATCAAAAATAATGGAACGCTGGCAAGGTAAAGTAGCAATTGTAACTGGAGCATCTGCTGGCATTGGGTTAGCTATTGCCAAGGCTTTATTGAAAAATGGCATGATTGTCATAGGTCTTTCTAGAAGACTCACAAAAATGCGGGTAAATTTTTCAGAAAAATGTTCTTTTATTGTAAATTATTTTTACGAACATTTTTTTGCTTCATAATTGAGCAACAAATTTTTTTAGGAAGAGATGTCAGGAGTGTATGGATATGATAAATTTTATGCTCGATCGTGCAACGTTACAGACGAAAATGAAGTTAATGAAAATTTTAAATGGATTGGACAAAACTTCAAAACTGTTCATATTCTTGTGAATAATGCTGGATTATTCAAAACGGGAACCATTGAAGGTTACATAAAATTATTATTTATTATTTTAAAGCATTGTAAATATTTGTTACATTTTTAGGTATTTCTACCGACGACCTGCAAGTAATTATGAATACAAACGTAATGGGAGTTTTGTATTGCACTCGTGCTGCTATGAAACTAATGAGAAAAAATGATAATGAAGGTCATATAGTTAATATTAACAGGTACAGTTATTTTTATTAAAAGTATCATCAATCTTACAGTTGTAGTTGAATTTTTGTCCATTTCTTGAATTATTTAATCGAAATTAAACGTCTTGTATTTATATTTCTCTGTCAAATGTTAACAACTCATACCATTTGATGTATCAATTAAATTTTGCAAAACAATGATAAAATAAAAAAACCATAATACCATAGTTAACAATCGAAAATATTATGACGATCAACAAATTTATTTCATTTGGATAAGGTAAAAATAATGATTACGTACTTACGTTCTTATTTTGTTCCATAATTTTCTATTGCCTTTCTTACTTGAACGCACCTTAAGATACTCAGAGTAAATTAATTATTATCATAGTAATGATATCGACGTTTTTAGTATTAGCATTAAATTTAATAAACATTAATAATATTTTTTGCTGTGGAAATTTCTACTCAACTTTTATTTATTTACATAGTAATGCTGGACGCAAAGTTCCAGCTCTTAACATCCCAATGAACATTTACGCTGCAACTAAACACGCTGTGACTGCGTTACAGGAATCATTGGTAAAAGAAATTAATGGAGATAAAATCAGAGTTACGGCAAGTAAAATAATAATAATAAATTAAACACATTTTTAAACGTATGAACATTCTGTAATTAATATTATATTTTATGTTTACAGAATATAAGTCCTGGTTTAGTCAATACTGATATTTTCGAAGTAGCGAATTTAGGCGCTAATTGGGCGAAAAATTCATCTTTCAAGATATTAGATCCAGAAGATGTTGCAGCTTCGGTAATTCATGCTATATCAGCTCCACTGCACGTTCAAATATGGGAAATTATTTTAAAACCCTTGGGCCAATTGCATTGAAGTTAGTTAGATACTAGCTATATTTTCAGCGCGTTACGCGCACCTTTTATTTGTCTTTTTCCAGTTTTCCATTTTTTATATATAAAATAAATAAAAGATGATCATAAAATGAATTGCATTAATATGTAACGTAATGACATTTTCTCACTAACACCTCCTTCAAACAATACCAACCTCGCTCCAATATACATCCTGTATCACGCTGCTAAATAACCAATCAGAGCCTTTATAAACTACTCACCCTGAAAACCTCTACACTCTTATATTTAAAATAGAAAAAAATGGTAGCCGCCCGTTTCTCCGATCCCGTTATTCTGACGGCCATTTTTCCGATTATGTCAAATTTCCGATTTTACATTATTCCGATTCCGTTTTTCCGACTACCTATTTTCCGATTGTATAAAATTTCAAACATAATAATTCAAATATCGCCGAAACAATAATATTATGGTTTGACTATCGCTAGCTGCTGCGAAGGCCGACAAAGAGACACTTCGTTAGTCTCTCATCTAAGTTCACCTATTTAGCCTAGCAATGGAGCTTCAAGTCGTAAATAATAAATTAATTGTTCGCGGGTATCAATTTTACCATTCAAAAATTATTGGGGAAAAACGTCACTGGGAGTGCATAAAATTGCGTAATGACAAGACGTGTACCTCAAGAGCGACAACGAATAACCCAGGTCCCGGAGAACAGCTTGTTCTCTTGAAAGAGAAGAAGCACACGCATCCCCCGAATTTCAACGACTGCGAAGCTGAAAAAGTGAAGTCCAGTTTAAAAAGAAAAGCTACGGAACACCCAGAGCAACCTCCGGCCCAGTTACTGCGTACAGAACTTTCTTCAGTGCCCGAAGGCGTGCTCAGTCATCTCCCTTTGAGAGAAAATTTAAAAAAAATTATACGCAGAACAAGACGGAAAGATTTACCACCAAACCCAAAAACATTAAATGAATTTGACACTCTTCCGGATCGATACCAAAGAACTCTATCGGATGAAAAATTTTTAATTTTTGATTCTGGTCAGTCGGAAGAGAGTAGAGTTCTAGTATTTGACACGCGTAAAAATTTAGAAATTCTAGCCCGGAGTGAAGTTTGGTTTTTGGACGGTACTTTTAAAGTAAGTTCCTCTCTTGAATACACGTAATCAGGCTATTATTGCTATTGTACGAATCTTTTATTAATACTACTTAGGTCGCTCCACATTTATTTACGCAAGTATTTTCGATCGTGGGCACCATCGATCGAAAGAGACAAGAGGCTGGTGATATTGAGGTTGTAGCGTTGCCGTTCGTCTACGCTTTATTATCATCAAAACATACTGGACAATATGCAGATGTGCTTCGAGCTGAATTTCAGAAAGAGCAAGCTGATTGCGAAGTTATGATTACTGAGTTGAGTTTGGGGCGTTCCGTCAAGAATAAACCGAAACAAAAGTGGAAGAATCTTCAAGATCGGTTACAAGTAATGGCACATGATTACGATTCGTTTAAGGAACGTCAGGAAGAGTTACAGTTTATAAAACATTTTGCCAATACGTTAACCCTTTAATTTATTCAATAAACGTGTCATTGCTACTTAATTTTATATCTATCTTTATTACCATGCATTTATTTATTATTCGGAATTTGTACTCGTCGGAAAATTGGTGTCGGAATTTTTTTTTTTCGGAAAATTTGCACATCGGAAAAAAGGTCACGTCGGAAGAATGGAATCGGAGAAATGACCGTGAACCAAAAAAAATATAAGTCGGTTTAAAAATATATACATTTAAATACTTTATCATAGAAAATTAATGTCATTAAGTTATTAATTAAGAAAAATTAATTTTCCTATATGATATAAGTCATCATAATTTATTTTAGAATATGAATTGATCAACATTTGAATAATATTATTATCGCTTAATAAATTATTAAATAGCGTACAAAAACTGTAAAAATGAATAACTTTTAAGAATCACCTCCCAAAAATATCAAAAAGGTAAATGTTAAGAGTATTAAAATTGTAATGTGGGTATATCGACGTACCAGAGCTGAAAGATGTCACTTCGGCGCTTGATTCTGTAGGATGGTTTTTTCTGCGATTAAAGTGATACCATGTTAATGTTCCATGTTTTTTAAATACCAGTACAAGCGCCGAAGTGGTATCTTTCAGCTCGAAGCTCGAAATTGCATTTTTCTGCTCTGCTCCGTGGAGCGGCATCTTTCAGCTCTAGCACGTTGATATATACTTTTTAGGTAACTTGTTCTGTTTGTCCGTTTAATACCTGGAAACTTTTTTTTCAAAAGACCTATCCATTTCTTTTGCTTCCGTTCTTTTCTCTCAGGATTAAATATCTCAAAGGTCTGAACCTTACTAACCTTTCAGGCTTCAAGGTTACTGGAAAAAGCGGCAAAGCTTCTCCATGAATCGTGGATAGTGAAAGACTACGCATTTAACATCCTCCACTGCAAGAAAGCAGATCGGACACTAGTCGTTTATGCCATTGTCGGTTCGACACAGATATGACCTAAAGCAACCGTGACTAGACAGGAGTTGTGTAGACTGTTTAGAGCGCCAATTGGATCTGCCTTTCTTGCAACACTTTGGCCCGTACAAGATGTTCTATGCTCTTAACATCTAATGGCGGTATATTCTCAAAATGCACGACTCATCAACAAGCAATGCCAGTGGTGGAGTGATGGCAAGAACGTTCATCTATTTCTTCTCGGTACTCCGATGTTGTACCTATCCAAACCGTATATCTTTGTCACGAACAATTTTTAGATATTCATCAAATTGTAGCCTGACGTCAATTTGTACATCAACGTGCTAGAAGCAGAAAACCAAAATATTTTAAACTTAATTTTTGTTCCAAGTAAACCTGATTTCATATATTTATTTTCTCTAATTTTTAATATTCAATGAAATTTTGAAACTTATTATACTTTTTTACTCAGTTCAATGTGCGATTTATCATTCATAATTTGTTTATAATTTAAACATGTTAATAATTTGTTTATAATTTAAACATAAACTATTTGATAAAAAATTCAACAAAAAAATTATGTAATTTAAATAATTTCTTCGCAAGTGAAAATTTTACAGGTATAGATAATTATCAAAAAAATACAATAAACAATAACATTTTTCAAAAAAAAACTGTCCACTCTCTTTGATTGTGAAGTCGGAATTTTGAAAAATTTTAAGCTAAATTTTAAATTAAAGGCTTGAAATTTAATAGGCTAAAAATGACTATAAATTTCTATAGTGAAATGTCCACTTGAAAAGAATAATCAATTCAAACAATCTTAAACAAAGTTAATTTTTCAAGATATTACTATCTTAATGAGAATTCATAAAAAAATTTCTACATTATTTTACTCATATTCAAAACTTCAGACATATCGATTTCCGCTCAATTTTACTTGCAGAAGTACCTGTCTCAAGCATGAAAAATGACCTATTTATACTTATTACATATTGTACATAACTTTTCTCACATATTTTGGCATTGATAAATGCTCATGCTCACTTTCATTAAATTATTTTTGTGAATGTAACCGTAAATTCATGACACCTTAAAAATACTAATGTTATATAAAATTATATTACTATACAATTCAAGCATTTAAGTTGTTAATCCCCAACGGAAATTCATCGCCACTCTAATTCTTAAAAACTCTTAAAAATTGTTTTAAAGTCTGAAATAAGTCTTAAAAATTCTTATAAATGTTCGGATTTCGTACCATGATTTTTAAGAGTTTATAAAATTTTATAAGAGTTTTAAATGATATAAATAAATTTTTAAAATTTATGTGAAACCTGATATTTGGTTCCCGAAATATTCAGACAGGTAAGGCAATGGCTTATTTAATTTAAAAAAATGCTAACAAGTGACAATAATTGTTATAAAGAGTTATTAAGAGTTATTAAGTTTTGATGAAAGTTTTCAATATTTTTAAAAACTTTTTTGATCGGTATCCACTATATCCACCAGCAACTATATGAACAATATAGGAAAAATAAAATAAATGAAAAAAAACTTAACATTTTTACTAAAAAATTGATTTTCCACAAGGTTTTATGAATTTTTTAAAAGTCTTTAAAATCATTGATCAGGTGTACAAAATCCGAACATTTGTAACACGTTTTTAAACTTTATAAAACTTTCTCATGAGAAAAATTTCTGTCGGGGATATAAAATTATATTACTATACAATTTAAGCATTTAAGTTGTTTATTGTATTTATATTTTTATTAAAATGCTGATATTATTTTTAAAACAGATTCTAAAATTTCATCGATTATATTGTAAGTCTTTATTTTAATTTCATAATTTGATAAATTTGATTTATTAATAAATTTAGAGAAATGTATCAAAGATATTCCTAAAATATTTGATCGAATCATCAAATATTTCCATAGGGTTCCCCCCACTTTCCCGAATCTAATTTCTCGACAACCATTTTCACAAATATTTCTTTCGAATAAATCTTCAAAGAGCGGGTAACAATTTTGATTGAACCGTACAGTAAGTAGATCAGTTTTAGATTTTCAACTATACTATAAACATCTGTCAGTTGTACACGTGTAAATATTGTACATAGTTTAAATATTTTACTTTAATAAAAAATATTAATTAAATATTAAATTCAGTAAGTTTTTAATTTTCTCGATATTAAAAAAATTATTTTCATTGTGGTTAAAATCATTAAAAAAGGATTTTTGCTTATGAAAATGAAAGTAATTTATTATTCTTCCCTTATAAGAAATGAGATAAATGAATTTATTGAACTATGACTGCTGTGTATATGAAGCTACTTGCACACATAAAAGCTAATGGGATCGCTCTTTAAAACAATACGGAACTCGTATTTCGACTAATGGCTAACTGACTTCATTTACTTTTTTCTTCAAGGCTAATACAAATGGTAAAAATTGACAGAATACAAAAGGAAGCTGATGGACAAAAGTAAAAAGCTTTTGAAACAAAAAATACGAATACCATAGTGAAAGCGATACACATGAAAAAAAAGAAAAATAGACAAAAAAAAGGAAAAGAAAATCAAGGGTTCGATAACTTTTTGCTGAGTTCAATTGCTCCCTACAAATAAAGTTCTTCGACACTTAGTCTTTACGTTCTCTT